GGGAACAAATAATCTATTGAGAGGAAAAGTGATTACAGCACATGGGGAAAGTGGGTTTTTGTTTGTTTGTTTGTTTGTTTTTATGCCTAGAGGCAGCAAAGTTTCTCAAGGGAAAAAAAATTTCTTATAACCCTTCAGGTTAGCAATACCTAGCCTTCCCATAGCCCTTCACAGTGATATTGAGTTGTTTAAAAGTAAAATACAATTAGGCCTAAAATACTAATTCTACACTTCCCCATTGAATCCTTCCCTGATTTCTACAAGCATACTCACCTCCCCCTTCTCCCAAAAATACCTTTTCTTTCATTCAACAAGACCTTTAATAGATACCTACAATTAGCTAGGGCAGTCATTCTCAAAGTGTGGTCCAGGGACTCCTGGGAGTCCAAATCAAACCCCATCCCCATTTCTTCTTCATCTATACCTAATTCCAAACTAAACCCAGCCCTCATTTTCTCCCTCATTGATAATCAAGTGGCAATGGAGGCTGAGGCAAATCAAGGAGGAGATAAGTCCTTCATTAGGTTCAGAAGGTTCATGGGTTTGTGCAGGAGGGAAGTGACTGGAATGGGTAGAACAGGATTGCCCAACAGGAAGCCAAGATGGTAAGTTAAGTGGGCAAACTGGAAGAGAAAGGGTATCAGCCACTGTTAATGAGGTCAAGTCAATAGACTTGGACAAACCACACTTTGGGCGTGGAAAGAACTGACAGATAAGATTGAGGACAGCCTGTCCATGGCTTTGAAGGGCATTAAAGTATGGGAAAGACACCTCATAGAGGCAAATTTGAATGTCAACTTCAAAAAAGGGAAGAGAATGGAGTTTCTAAATTGTAAGACAGTGAGTGTGACTTCTTTTGGAAAAACTCAGGAACCCATTGACAAAGGGGTAATTTGTGCACATTTACAAAGAAGGAAAGAATCAAGACATCTCAGATCCAGAAGGGACCTTAGAGGTCATGTAGTGCAACACACACCTGATCAGGAGACTCCCCTGTGAGTTACCTGGCAATCGTCCATCAGCTTTTGCTTAAACAATAATAATAACAAATATGACTTTAAGGTTTGCAAAGGGCCTTATGTGTACTATCTCACTTTTCCACACAACTCCAAGAGGTAGGTCATCTTCATGGGATCACTTTACAGAGGAGGAAGCTGAGGCAGAGGGTTAGTGACTTTCTTAGGGTCACACAGTTAGTAGGTGTCTAAAGTGGGTTAGGAACTCAAGGCTTCCTGACTCCAGTTCTGGTACTCTGTCCACTGTGCTGACAGCCCTCCTCATCCTGAAGTTCCAGTGAGGAGGGAACCTGCTTTCTTCAGGAGCAGCTTCTTCCAAATTTGCATAGCTTTAATTATGAGGGTGCTTATGACTTCGATTAAAATCAACCTGTCTTCAGCTTGCACCCTGTGATAATTCCTCCTTTATATTACATCCTTGAGAAGAGGTTTCACATCTTCTGATGTCTATCCTCCACCAGGTTAAACATCCTCTGTTCCTTCAACTGATCCTGCTAATGCCTGATGCCTAGTCTCTTCACTGTTATGGTAAAGAATATTCTCCCACTTAATTTCCTCCCCGATATCATGCCTAGCCCAGTAGCTAGCCAGGATCCCTGTGGCTGGCGATCTTTTCTAATCCTACCTCCTGACCTTCCCAAGTGATCCCTGAGTTCATTACTCTGGGATTGCCTGTATCCTCAATAGGGGCAAAGGGCTCCTAGGGTTTCAATTTGAACTCTGCCTCAGATTCCACAGGAACAATTCTATTTGTAACTGTAATGTAAGAAGTCTTCCTAAAAAAAGGGAAGAAGTTTTTTTAAAAAGTACCCAGAGTACAAGCCACAACTGAGAAGTTCCTCCCCATTCTCAGATGTCTTTCAAAGGTCATGGACAGGTTGTCATCAAATTGAGCTGCCTGAGTTTTCTAAGCCCAAGGCACAGTTTGATCAAGTGGAGTCAGATATGAAGGAGGTGGCTTTATTCCCACACAGAAAAAGGAATGCTAAGCAAATAAAGAATCATTGAATGATTAACAGCTGGTTGAAAAGCTAATATTCCAGCCTTACTGGGGATATTTGCAAACAGTTCTTTTTCAGGGCTGCTCATTAGTAGCTTTTCACCTTCACCATAGCAGCAGAATTCCATGTCCCCTGAGTGGAGCCCAGTCAGCACCATGTGGGCTCTTGCTTTCCAGTGGTCTCCCTCTCTCCCTGAGGGACTCTTTTCCCTCTCCAGGCTTGCCCCTGCTGCTGTTGCTTCTGCTGCTCCTCTGTTGGACACCACCCTGCTGCTCAAGTACCCAGCAATGGAGAGATGGCAGCTCCCTTTTAAGATCTCAGAAGGCAGGGGCAGCTAGGTGGCGCAGTGACCCTAGATTCAGGAGGACCTGAGTTCAAATCCAGCCTCAGACACATAACACTTACTAGCTGTGTGACCCTGGGCAAGTCACTTAACCCCATTGCCTAGTTTAAATTTAAAAAATAAATTAAAAAAAATAAGATCTCAGAAGGCAAAGAAGACACAAATGGGTGGTTGTCCCAAATGGGTAGCCTTGCTTGCCCTCCACAGAGCAGAACTAGAAGGGAGAAGAAGCCAGAGGTGCTTGGGATCAACAGCCAATTAAGAGTCAGCATGGCTGGCAGGAAGCACTCAGAGCTCTGAAGTCAGGACAGGAGGAAGGGAGGAGGGGAGAAAATGACCCTTCTGTCATACATCCCCAAGGGGGTACCACATTTGAACCTCTATTCAAAGGCAGAATACCCTGGAATTCTTACCTCTGGTTTTGAAAAGTATCATTCTCTTAAGGCAGCCTAGAATCACTATGTCACAATCATGACTTATACTGAATTGGCAGGACCCTACAACCCTCAGATGTTTTTTAGACCAGCTATAATCTTAGCCATAGTTCTCCCATTATTATTTCTGAGGGTGATTTTTGTACCTAAGAATAAGACTTGGCACTGATTCCTTTTAATTTTCGTCTTCTTAGAGTTGCCTCATTCTTTCTAGCCTGTCAAGATGTTTTAAGATTGTGTTTCCATCACCCAGTATATTAGCCGTCTCTTCGAGCTTTGCCTCATCTGCAAATCTGATTAGCCTTCCTCATATCATTATCAATCATATCATATCATATCAACAGCACAGAACCAACCACAAGTTCCTGGAGCTCCCCACTAAAGATCTCTCTCCAAGCTGAATTTAAACTATTAATGACTACTCTTCCCAATCAGCTCCTAATCTGCTGAATATATTATCTTCTAATCTAAATCTCTCTGTCTTGTCCACCAGCGTTATCACCAGAGATGTTAGAAAATACTTTGCTAAAATCTGGGTAGTTTGGGGCAAGGCTTGCCTTGCAGGGGGAGTAAAGGAAATGAATGTGATATAAAAACAACAGGCAGCAATGAAAGTTTTATAAAGAAAGTAAAATCCAGGAAAATTACCTCTACAGAGTTCACCTGCTCTAGTAACCTTGTCAAGAGACCAAGAAGTCATGTGGGCCTTGCGTATTCTTAGTGTCTCTGAGAGATGATTGCTTCCTTTTCTAGATGGTCACTAGCCATCCTTTGGATAATGCTTCAATATTTCAGCAGATTTACAACCTCATCAATGTCAGGACTTCCTGCATGGGTATAGATTACAAGCCTTTTACATCTCCTGGCTGGTGTGACGCTTACCCATATTTTCCTGTAGAATGCATCAAATACGTTGGCAGCTTTCCTTAGGTTTAAAAATGCACAGAAGTCTTACAGTGCTGGACTCCTGCCACACACCCAGCCCTCTTCACATTCTCAGCCCATATTTCCTAAATAACATTGATGGGGTGCCTGGTGCTTGCACTCAGACCCCGCTTCCAAGATCATATTTCTCCCTACCTTCAAAACATGATCCCTGACAGTTTTCTCCCCAATCCAAAGACCTATCTCTGGCAATAACTCATGAGTGGGCCCAGTGCGGTAAACTATCTCACTATCTCTCCCTATTACAAGAACAAGTTGACTGCTGTAGAATTTCCCTTGTATTATCTTGTATCAATAAAATTATCATGTACTGATTTCCACAGTTATCATATACTACCCAGAGGTCAAGTTATAGACATCAACTCCGGAAGCTATCTTGTTACAGACATAACAGACCAAAAATACACCCCTACACCCCTTAGGAACCTTCCTGCCACCCCTGTTTCCAGTAGTAAATGACGCCTGTGACCAAGGTTGTATGTCATCACCTAATTAGCATACTTGGAACATAATCGACTACTTTTCCTGTATAAGCTTTAGCATCATTCCAGTTCGGTTGCAGAATCCTTTAAGTAGCTCTGCCCACCATGGCAAGTTCTCTAAGGAGCTCTGCCTGCCATATTAGCACTATAACAAATTCTTGCCAACTTGACTTAAAGTGTGCTTGAGTCCATGAATTCATTCCAGGCACCCCCATCCTGTACTTTGGTCTTGGGGGGGGATCCCTGAGCCTCTTAAACCACATCAATATCATATTTTTACTGCTATTTTTTAAACAAGCAGGTCCCTACTGGTAACGTGCCACAGGCTTTTTATGCCCACTATGACATGTACTCCATTACTATTGTTTATTCGATTCTTTGGGAAGTGTTCTGTCTGTTCCTTGAATCACAGCCATTTAGCGTTTCTGAAAGCATTCTCCAAACCATCCTCCACAAAGCTGCAAAAATCCTGAGGCCAGAGAAGCGGGTTAGCTGATTGCAGAACAGCAGGAGAGACCCATAGCTCCCTCTGCAAACACCCACAGATATAGTCTGTTCAGAAAGTCTGTCCTCTTGGAGCTAACAGGACTCTGAGTTAGCCCAAGATGGAGAGCCCATCTTCTTTGGATTTTTGTTTGGGTGGGGGAGGCAATCAGGGTTAAGTGACTTGCCCAGGGTCACACAGCTATTCAGCAGTCTGGGGATGAATTTGAACTTAGGCCCTCCTGACTCCAGGGTCAGTGTTCTCTCCACTGCACCACTAGCTGTCGCTTCTTGTATCCTTTTCTACCTTTCCCATACTAGCTTCCCCTTTCAACTTGTCCTTTGGACTGAGCTAGGGTAGGGGTGGGGGGACTGCAGAAGAGCTGCAGAGAAGAAGACCCCTGGCCAAGGCCCGAGATGAGATCGCAGCTTCTGCTGCTGCTGGTCCTCTTCTGGAGGAGTGAGTGGGGTAGGAGCTGGGGAGGGGGACAGATTTGGAGGAAGCAGTGGGTGGGAAGAAGGGTCGAAGATGCTGTCTCTCTTTGCTCCCAGGCTCCTTGTCCCAGATACCGAGTGAACTGCAGGTGCCCAGCTCGGTGACGGTGAGGGAGGGGATGTGTGTCACGATCCCTTGCAAGATCCTCCTTTTCCCTATTTTCTTTCCCTCACTGCTAGCTGGTTCCGAGAAGGGGCAGACACTGCCAGAGATAAGCCTGTGGCCACGAACGACAGAAGATCGGGATGTACAGGCGGAGATAGGAGGGCGATTCCACCTCAGCTTGTTTCCAAGGAGACAGGACTGCTCCCTGAGTATCACTGATGCCCGGAAAGCAGACAGCGGAAGATACTTCCTGGAGGTGGCCATTGGAAAGTCACGGAAACACAGTTACTTGGATTTTAAAGTTTATGTGAATGTGACAGGTAGGAAACTCCTTCCAGGGACGGGAGCACTGGGCGGAGCCGGGGCAGCCCTGGGAAAGTCTCTCGTGTACTGAGTTTCGGAGGCAACCGATGACAGGAGGGTGCGTGGGGAAGCTCACAGAGAGAGCTTCTTTGCAAATGTTGTCCAGGGCTCAGGGCTGTGTCTGGACGCGCCATCTAGAGACCTCTCTGCGAGCAAACAGGATACAAGGAGGAGGTGATGGGGCAGCTGGGTAGCCCGACGGCTGGGTCTGAAGTTAGATCTTCGATTTGAATCCCGCTTCTCCTACCTACTACCTGCACGCACATCCCTTTGTTGACATTATTTTTCATGAAGTGCGGTGGGGGTGGGGAAGAAAGTACTTAGGAAAGTGTGACGATGGAGTAGGTGACTAATAAGGAGCACTCTCTTATGCTCCTATAACCCTAGGAATGAGTGTCTCAGGGCACAGGGTAAGGCAAAGAATGGCCCGGGAAGAAGGGACAGTGTTGGGAATCAAATGGGACCACGTTGGGGAAGAGCAGGCTGGTTACAAACAATGAATGACCCCCAGGCCATCACTGGGGGTTACACTGCGCATGTTTCTTAATCCGGAGTCTAGCTCACCACTTTCGTTTTCTTCCCCAGCTCTGACACGGAAGCCAGACATCTATGTTCCCCAAACCCTGGGGGCTGGGCATCCTGTGACCCTGAACTGCACATTTCCTGGGGTCTGTATGGAGGCGATACCCCCCATCTTCTTCTGGAGAGGGGCAGCCCTTTCCTCCAGGATCCTGACAGTGAGCCAGCCTCTTCGTCGGAGATCTCTCTGACTCCAATGCCCCGAGTCCACGGCTCCAGCCTCACTTGTCGAGCAACTTTCGCTAGAGGGCATGTGAGCACAGACTTAACCTGTCCTGTGAGTGCTGAAAGCAGGGGACCCAGAAGAGAGTGAACTGGAAAGAAGATGGTCCAGAACTTGAGATATAGGATGATATTGAATGGTCAAGACATCTGGGGCCCTGGGGCAGGGGGGATATGCTGGAGAATTCTTTCATTTTCTACCCTTGTTTCTGGGGCTAAAGGTCCCTATCTCATCCCAATGCTGAGGAAAAAGCATCCTGTTCCGCCCAAAAGTCACCTACAACTTTCCATTTCAGATACACCGAAGAACTTGACCATCCATGTTGTGTGGGGAAACAAGACAGGTATTATCAGGGATCTATGGGCAGGGCTCTTTAGTGGCCCATGGAACTAAGGGACAAGGGAGACAGGATTTCTCTTTCCAGGGGCTGGTTCTGCTTACAAAGAAATGTTCCTCACCATAGAATAGCAGTACTGATGATGATGATAATGATGATGATACTACCCACCATCATCATTAGCACCATCCTCATCTCATTTATTTAGCACTTTAAGGTTTCCAAGTGTCTCTCCTCACCCCAGTCCTGTGAGTGACTGAGCACAAGAATTATTCATCCTATTTTACAGATGAGGAAACTGAGGCTCAGAGCCTAAGGACTTGCCCAAGGTCTTGTGCATGCTAAGTAGCAGGATCTCAGTTTTAACCCTGGTCTTCTGAAATCAAGTCCAGGGCCCAAAATATTTTAGAATCTTCCCTTTGTCTCAGGGGGGTAGGGGTGGGGAGGGGTTGGTTGGGGGGGGACTAAGTTCAGGTGCTGCCTCCTGCAAGAAGCCTTTCTTGATCACATCTTGCCATGCTCCTCTTCTCAGATGAGCTGTTATTTATTTTGCTGCATACATGGCACATTCCACAGGATAGTCCCTGAGGATGGAGGACTGTTTCTCATCTTGTCTTTGTCCAACTTTGTCCAGAGCCTGACCCCTAGTAGGGGGCAAAGAGTTAGGCTGAGGGGACGTGATAAATGTTCATTGATTGAAATTTCACAATAACAGGCATAGATGAGATGTCAGGGCTTAGTACTCTAGAAACCAAGGGTTGTGCTCTAATACTCCAAATTGCCATCATGGGTTCTTAACCTGGGGTCTATTGACCCCAAGGCATCTGTGGATAGATTTCAGAGGGTTTGTGTATCAGATGAGAAGAGCTTGCATTCTTATTTTCGCTAACCACTGATGGGAATTTATCAATTCTCTCTCTCTCTCTCTCTCTCTCTCTCTCTCTCTCTCTCTCTCTCTCTCTCTCTCTCTCTCTTTCTCTCTCTCCCTGGTGAGGCAATTGAGGCTAAGTGACTTGCCCAGGGTCACACAGCTAGTAAGTGTCATGTTTTTGAGACCAGATTTGAATTCAGGTCCTCCTGACTCCAGGACCAGTGCTGTATCCACTGCACCACCTAGCTGCCCCAGCAATTCTTTCAATTACTTAAAAACATGATTCTGAGAAGGGCTCCATCAGTTTCACCATCAAACTGCCCAAGGGAGCCATGATCCAAAAAAGGGTTAACCCTGGTCAAGGTTTTCTCTATTAGAGGAGCTGACTTGGTGCTCAACTTGGTAGCAGCAGAGCTGATTAGTCCAGGAAGCTTGGTCAGGATCTGTGACCACACCACAGCCATGTTGAGACCAAGTCTCAGGACTCTGGCTGGCCCTGGATAACTCTGTGCCCTGGAAACTTGATACATCTCATACCATCTTTCCCTTAATTGCTAAGGAAGGCTTTTGCAAAAACCCAAGCAGTGTCTGTAGGTAAAGCGGATGGCGTCTGCTAGGGCTGGGTTGAACGTGGATTACTGGCAGAGGGGGAGAGAGGGATAGAAAGCATTAGTTCACCCCACAGCTCTGGGGGTCAGTGGAATCTAAATCAGAAAAAAGGGAAATCTAGGTGGAACTGGATCAGGACAACTTCCTTTGCAACTAAGTGCCATTGCCTTATATTAATTTCTTCTGTGTGACAAGCCTTCTCTCCAGACCTTGGTTTCTCAGCCCTAAAGTTGATGACCTTTTCAGTAGTGATCCCAGGAACTGGCTCTTACCTGCTTCTCCCAGATAGAGAGACCCTCCTTCTACTATGCACTGTGGACAGCAACTTATCTGCCATGTTCAGCTGGACTTGGGAAGGTTGAATTATGAACAGATCTCCAGCCTCAGACTTCCAGACTCTGCCTCTGAAGCTGCCTGGTCTGAGAGTACGGGATAGTGGGGAATATTCCTGCCAAGTCCAGCACCATTTTGGGACACAACATGCCTCCCTGCACCTCTAGGTACAGGGTGAGTAGGAGGGGGATGGTGGTAAGACACCTGCATCCAGGAGCGGGTGAGGTTGGAGAGATGGAGTTGACAAATGTTACCCAGAACTTTCTCTCTCTCTCTCTCTCTCTCTCTCTCTCTCTCTCTCTCTCTCTCTCTCTCTCTCTCTCTCTCTCTTTCTCTCTCTCTCTCTCTCTCTCTCTCTCTCTCTCTCTCTCTCTCTCTCTCTCTCTCTCTCTCCCTTCTCTCTCTATGTCTCTGTCTCTGTCTCTCTCTGCCTCTCTCTCTCTCTCTCTCTCCCCTCTCCCTCGCTTTCTTTTCCCTCCTCAGCCCCAATGCAGAATAATAGCTCTTGGCCATTAATTCTCACCCTGTTCCCAGGAATCTTTATGGGAATAGGTATTCTCCTCACTTATGGCCTCACCTGGCTCTATTACACCTGGTGAGTATATCTACCTCTCTACCATGAGACCCCAGGATCCTGGCCTCCGGTGCCTTGACTTGACCCTTCTTGGTTTTTTTTTTTAATTTACTGGAACAAGGGGAATAACAATGGACATTTTCCCTTTCTGAGAATCGGTCTATATTTCCATCACAAGGTTGGGGGGTTGGGTGGGGAGCAAGAGGAACACCTGGGAAAGAAGTCTGAGAGCTCTATACTGAACTACTCTTTCCTTTAGGCCTTGCATGCTGGACAGAGAAAATGGTGCTGACCTGCACTAGAGAAAGTCACAAACTTGAGCATGGATGTTAGGGAGAGGTCAGGTTTGGAAAACACTCTAACTGGAGATTCATTGAGATCCTCCACTGGGTCACTAGTACAGGACCAGAGGTCCAACCTTAATGGCATTTAAAAGCCCTTCGCAACCAACCTATATCCAACAAATCTTCTAAATAATTCTTCATCCCATTTCCTTGCCTAACTCAAGTCAGCTATGGGCATCATTTTCTCTGCCAACTTTCAGCAGATAATGCTGTCCTCCTGTCCCCTTCCACATCCTCCATCCCAAGCCCAGATGTCGTCTTCCAATGACTTAGAAAAAAGAATAAATGGCATTTTTTTTCAAATGTGCAAGTTACTCAAAGCTGGAAAGGAATCACAGACCAGGAAGTAAGAGAATCCTGCTGCTGCTGCTGCTGCTGCTGCTGATGATGATGATGATGATGATGATGATGATGATGGTGATGATGGATGATCCTCCCTTTCCCTTGGTGTAGACAATTACATTGCCTCTTTCATAAATCAGTGACTGATGAGACCCTAGGCCTCACCATGACCAATGAGGAGCCCAAGAAAGGAGTCAGGACTGAACACAAACTCCACATTGATTTAAAGTTGTCAAGGCAAAGTAGTATTGTAGAGCAAATGGAGGTTAAGAAGCCCAGCCACTTAGAAAGCTAATGAAAGCCTATTGTGCAGTCCAGGGCTTGTCAAATAGGCAGGTGAGACACTGATTTGGGGTGACTAGTCAATCATACCCACACAAATGGATGGAGATGGATGAGGAAGATTTCAAATGACTTCTTCTAGTCACAGACATGGGACATTTACTATATAGAGAACCTGCACTTTTACCTTGGAATTGGGTTCCCAGGGAACACAATACATTTATAGTTAGAGAACTAAGATGTGATTCATCCACTTCCTGCTGGGTGCAACATCCTTTCCTCTTCATCAATTCCTTATACTTTAATCATACATAAACTGCCACATTGCATGAGCATAACCATGAATTTTCAAAGTAATTAGTCGATGGGACATTTTGATCAGTATCAAGGGGAGATGGAGATGGGGAAAATTGGACTGGTTCTGTGACAGTATCCTTCTCTCTCTGAGAAGCACATGCGTTACTTTTTTTTTCCTGTAATGGGGTATGGCACATGTGCAGAATATCTCTGATGGTGCCTCCCACATACAGAAACTGAGAAAACTGCTTCTGGAGAAACGTGATAACATAAGAAAGACATGGCTTAGAAAGACATTGGAGTATGCAGAGACATTCTGTAACTGATTCTGGTCACCTAACCACTTGATGAAGAATGCACTCTTTAATGATCTACAGCAGAAGTGTCAAACTTGAAGCTGGCAAAGTTTAAGAATGGGGTCATCAAATTAAAATATAATTGGGAAATGTTTAAAAAATAAAAAAAAATACAATGCAACATATATGACGTTAATCTTTGGATTTTCTAAGTTAATATGTGGCCCACAGAGATCTGCTTCTATTTGAATTTGATAGTACTGGTCTACAGAGGCATTTGAAAAGATCTGTCAGTTTGGAGCCAATCCATTCAGCTCATCTATTCTTGGCTGGACTCTACACTGGTGTGCCCTCTGAAGCTATGTCTGAGTTTCAAAGGGATCCACAAAGTTCCCCCGATATTATAGTTTTCCTATTTCTCTTTCCAATTACATTCAATTTTTTCCTTTATGTATTTAGATGCTATGCTATTGGGTACATAAATGAAATATTGCCATTGACCTATTCATTAATTATAATACCTTTAAACATAATATATTCCCCTGCTTGTCTCTTTGTTTTTCTATATTTATTTTGGCCCTATGTGAAAGTATGATTGCTATGCTTGCTTTTTTTTTTTTTTAGGAGAAAAGAAGGCAATCAGTATTAAGTGACTTGCCCAGGGTACACCTGTAGTGAGAGTCTGAGGCTGGATTTGAAATCAGGTCCCCCTGACTCCAGGGCTGGTGCTCTTTCTACTACATCATTTAGCTTCCTTCTCCTCCTGTTTTTTTTTTTTTTTGTTTTAGCATAGTAGATTTTGCTTCAGCCTTCTAATTTTAACTGTATATGTCTACAGACAGCATATTCTTTTTTTTTTTAAATGGGTGAGTTCATCCCATTCACATCCTGAGTCATGAATGTTATTCACTTATTTACCTCTAGTGTGTCCTCATACTGGTTTTTGTTTTTCCCTCTCTACTCTCTTTACAAATAGAAAGATGGCTGTGTAGAAGCGAAAGAATTTGCCTGACACTTGTATCTTATAAATAACGGACTCTTTCCTCTGTTTCATCTCTTCTCTCATCCTTACCCTGCCCTGATACC